CGGCATTCCCACAGCGTGTGCGGCAGGGCCTCCCGTGGATTGTCGGGGGCTCAGCGGCTGGTGAGGGTTGCGGCAGAGGAGTGGCTGAAGGGCTACGGCTGTCATTGGAGCTTGCAGAGGTGCGTTGTCCGTTTTTTGCTCGTTGATACGCTTGACATTTTCGGTATTGACCTGCGCGTGAGGCACTTGTTGGGGAGACCGTGGAGCTGTCGCAGAATCCACATGTGAGGCCTTCTGCAACGATTGGAGTGCCAGGGTTACTGCGTCGGGCGTGTGCCTTCATATTGTGGACGGACGAGAAGACGCTGCTGCAGCTTGGGCAGGGCGACGTTGATCTGCTGCTCGTCATTCTACGAGGAGGTGCCGTGGACACGCCAGGTGGAGGTTCCGGAGGAGGTCGGGGTGGTCCTGCCTCTTCAGTGTGAGAGAAGCAGCACCACCGACATAAAGGGTTGCTTGTGATCTGCAGGGCGCGTGCCGGTCTGCCGAGGAGTGGGCAGGAGTCGCATCGCACCTGCGCACAAAGTCGTGATTCGATGCCCGATGTCTGCCTGGACACCAGGAATGGGGTGCTTGCCACACAGACGAGCGCCTGGCGTGCGGTGTGCACGACTTCTTCTTCCTCCTGGACTTCCTTCCAGTACAACCTATTGACGGCGGTAGGGAAGTCCACGTGCCAGATTGGGATGCCTCATTGCTGCAGGGATTGTGCAATCGTGGCTTCTTCGTCAGCGGCCTCAGTGCGTGGGATACCGCAGTGCGATGGAGAAGGTATAAATTCTGCAGGGTGAACTCGCTTTATCAAGGAAAGCAGCATAACCCAAATCTCTTCAGCAACGCAGTCTCGCACGGCCAGTGGGGCAACGCGGAGTGCCTCAATTGCCGAAAGGGAGTCCGTAGCCACCAGGATTCGTGTGGGCGATTGGGACGTTTCCAGACGAGGAATTATGAGATGTCCACGGCTCTTTTCAGTGGCAAGGCACTCTGCTCTCTATGAGCATGTGAGTCTGCCAGCTGCTGCACGATGGACCTCCACAGGGAGATCATTTGTCCTTGTGGAGCCGTATAATGGTGCAGCGGATCCAGATGCGAGTTCGGCGAGGGATGAAGAAACGTCTGTCGATAATTCAAAATCGTAATTTTCTTAGAAAAAGTAAAGGGAATCAAAAGCCGTGCGCTTGACATCTTCAGAGGCATCTTTGGCAAAGAGTGGCTGATAAAATTCCACTTTATTGCAACCCACAGTGTCGCAGGGAATAATTCGATGTTGGGTAATAGGAGGAGCGTGATTGTGGTTGTGTGGTATCCCAATAGTACCACATACGCGTTCTAATCCATTAATAACGGCATCTTTTGAAAATGGATTGATGTCGCCGCTTTCCTATGCATGGACAGCGGCATAGGTTCCGAGTGGATAAGGGGGCGCAAATCCTCGTGATTATGGAAACGTACATGGCGTTCGTGTTGATTGGTTTCACAGAGCCAGAGTATCTTCCGGAGCCGAAGAAGATTGGCTTTCAAGTATACCGATTTATCCTCCGTTGGTGCACTAATGCCAAGGGATGTTGTACAACTGTCGCGGTACAGTACTTCCGTATTATGGAGGTAGGTGTGGGCGAGGCATGGGAGAATTGCATCGCCATAATACAGTGAGACACCATGGACGTATCCAATCGAAAAGGATTGCATGGTGTGATGGGACGCACCAGCCTGTGCGACCAGTCGCAATTGGTAACGGCGTGGCATGGTCTGCTTTGCAGCGGTGGAAGCGTGCGTACCAAAATTAAGAATTTGTTCAACCGTGGTGTCCAGCAAGCGCACCGAGTGGGACTGAATACGTAGGTTCCCATTGCCAGGAAGGAGATCGGCCATGTCCTTGTCAGACCGTGTGTGCGAAGAGATGTAGAATAGAGCAGCTTCACTCTTATCAACGTTTGTTTTGAGGCTGTGCTCGGCAGCCCATGTCGTTATAAGGGACAGGGCAGGTTGCATTACCGCAGCACAGGCATGGATGTCCGCACCTGAGGCAACTAGTGTGAGGTCGTCAGCGTGCATGAGTGCGGCGGCAGAATAGATGTTGTGCAGGCGGCGCAGCACATCATCCACACAGTGGAGGAAGAGTTGGGGTCCCAGGACGCTGCCTTGCAGTACTCCGGCTGAGGCAAGTTGTTTCCGGGAGTGCTGTTCGCGAGTGCATACCTTAAAATGGCGGCCCCGCAGGTAGTTGTGCAGCCAGCGTTTGGTTCGGGGGCCAAGGCGTGGAAGTCCGTCAAGCATGCCGAATAATTTCCCATGGTCAGTGGTGTCGACCGCAGTCGAAAAATCAATCAAGGTCAGAAGCGAGCGATGGTGACGAGGATGGCGTGTGGGAGCGCCGCCTCCAGAGCGTTCATACTCCAAAATGCCAAACTCACTCAATCCACGGGTAATTTTACCAATAACAATTGTCACCACATCCGATTTTGAACGCGAAGGTGTAAATCCAAATTGACGTGGGTGGTGCGGCTATAACACTGACAGACGGCGGTGAATCATTCTTTCGGTTAATTTTAGTAAAACAGAGAGTGATTTGATAGGTCTCTAACTCTCTGGGCGGTATGGGCCCTTCCCAGGTTTGGAAATACGAATAGTGTCCACCGTATTCCAGGAGCCAGGCAGACTGCCATTTGCGAAGGAGTTGTGGATAACTGTTCTAAGTGTGCCGCGCGCAACGGGCCCGAGACGGTGCAGGAACTCATTCAACATGTTGTCGTGGCCAGGGGCTGAGCCGAGCGAAGAGTCGCGGATGGCAACGTCAGGTTCATACGGCGTGAGAGGTTGATCCATTTCCCAGTCACCAGGGGGCAATGGAGTGCGGCGAGCAGCAGCAGTATAGGGTAATGTGGCACGTGAAACCCGCACAAAATGACGGAAAAGCAGATTTGCCTGTTGCCGAGGCGGAGCACAGACGCGGTCCGAAGATCAGTGCGGAGCACAACTGAATCCAGGGGATGAGGGTGCGGCGCCGCCACACCGCGGAGATATCGCCAGCTTGGGCTGGATAAAGCCCCAAGTTTTTCCACACGGGCTTCCAGAAGCATAGTGAAGCCACGGCGTAAGGCTTGATTTTGTTCCTCCACATTTTTGGATGAATTCGGCTTGAAGCAGGCTGTCTCCTGGTGAGGCGATGTGTGTGCTTTGTGTGCTGCTTCTGCGGCGGACTCGGCTTGTTCCATTTCGTTCGTCCAGATTGTTTTGGGCTGTCACGGCTGCCGTGCGGGATATGGCGCTCAGCTGCTCGTAAGATACCACTGCGAACGTCCAACCATGCGGACGCGGTGGCAGGGAGTGTTTCACACAACGAGGTGGAAGCAGGCCAGTCCGCTTTGCGCAGGGCAGAGGTGGCTTTCTCCCGCCGAGGCAGCGTGTTGGCTATTCGCGGAATGCCATCATCCATCCCCACCGAGTAAGATATTAAGCAGTGGTCCTAATCCATGTAGGGAGTGGATTGCCAGTGGGTGACACGTAGCACGCGATACGCAGCCACTTCAGGGGACGAGAAATTACGATGTGTGATCCGTGTCGCCTGCGCCGGGTCATTTGCCAGCCCAAAATCCATGTCAATTAGAGTAGAGGACAAATCCTCTCCTCCAGTCGTTGAAGGTAGGTGTCTGTCCCAGAGTCCATGATGTAAATTCAGTTCACCCGCGATAATAGGTGCGGGGCCTGAGCGACGAATGGCAATAATAAACGAAGAGCTCTGAACGGTTGCTGTGGGAGGGCTGTAGAGATTCACCACGCAGATGCTGGGACAGCCCTGTGGAAACACACGGACAGCAATGGTCTCCAGGAGGTCTGTGCCAGGGAGCGTCAGGCGCCCGCACGGCAGAGAGTGGCGCACCAGAATGGCAACGCCACCACCGTGCCCAGTGAGGCCTGAAGAAACTCATTATGGTCATATAGTTTTGCCGCTGTGGCAATTCGAGTATTTGTTTCCTGGAGGTGAACGATGTCAGGTTGGGGCAGCTCCAGTCGCACAGCAAACGCAATATTTTTTACGGACGAGAGGCCTGCAATGTTGAGCTGCCAAACAGTGATGAGGCCATCCTCCTCGGGGCCAGGGTTCTTGTGGACGTCACCGCAACGGGTGATATCAACGGAGTGACCGCAGCGAAACGGCCGTGCAGTTTTGTCCGACAGTCTGCAGGCAGACCGCCTCACCTCCCCACACCGGGCATGGCGTGGAACCTTCTCGAGGGGTGGAGTTGTCTTGGTCTCCGTCGTGCTCGCCGCAACGCACCGCAGCGACGTTCCTATATGCAACCAGAGCCCCAACACCGCGACAAGGTGCGAATTCATTGCTGGGGCTTACCGAATTTTGTAAATGAGCTCATTTTAATTTTTTTTGCTTTTTTTTTGCTGCTTGTATTTTATTGGAATAATAATTATCTCTGTGTTTTACCAATGGCTGTTTAACTGCTCTACACATCATTATGAGTGATGTGTTTTCCATCTTGTTTTCTTTTTTGTCCAGTCGCTGTGCCGGCCTCATTGCTGTGCGTCCCACGGACTGCACGTACGAGGACTGGAGGAACAGGCCGGATGCCGCAATGAAGTGTGAGGGATGTTGTGTGGGCTGGTGGAACAACAGGATCTCTTCTTTTCTCATACTATTTTCTGCTATTTTTGCGAGGAAGATGTATACATAAACACACGGTCGTCTATATTGTGCTGCATGGCACATGAAATAAAATTACGACCTAATCTATTTTCTTCATCCTTTCCGGGAGTATTGCCGGAATATTAACTCATTTTTTATTTTTTTTTATATTTTTGGTTTGCATGGCGGTGTGTGTTTTTTGCTTTTTTACTGATTCCAACTGCCCCATAGTGTGTGCTGCCATTTGTGACTGTGGCGTTACTGTGCGTGGCGTAGCGGCAGTGTCTTTCTTTCAGTGCCTCCGTTCTGCGTTGACGGGGAGTTAGTTTGTGCTGAAGGCTGCACGCAAGTGACAGGAGTGATGGCGATGATGATGGTGACTGGCCGCCTGCTGTTGCTATGTGCCCTCTGTGTGCTGTGGTGCGGTGCCGGCGGTGGTTTTGCCAACGAGGAGAGGGCAGGTCTTGGAAGTGGTGGTGCTGAATCTCTGCTGGAATCACAAGAACTTGAAAAGTCTCCACAAGTCACGCAAGGCATAAGAGATGGAACTGGAGGTGTTAAAGAACAAGTACCCTCCAAACCTCCAGAGGATGAAGTTGAAGAAGATGAAGATGAAGACGATGAAGATGAAGAAGATGACAGTGAAGAGAATGAACATGAAGAGACGGAAGATGGAGAAAAAAAAAGTATAGAAGGGCAGAGTGATCAAGAAGGAACAGTTGCACCAGAGCCAGGTTCCAGGGAAAAGAATTTAATTGGCAGCGGGCAGGAAAATCACCAGCCAATTGTATCTGCAGAGGGCATCTCTCTTTCCGGCAGTCAGGAATCAAATGCCAATCCTACGCAACCGGAAGTAGATGAAAAGAAGGAAACCAAAAAAAGTTTACCTGCAGTAGAGAACGCACACACACCAGTTAACGGAGAGCACACACTGCTTGGGGGAGTTGCGGGAGGAAATCCTCCATCACCTCCAGAAGAAGGTGTTGATTCCCGCGAACACGATGGCGAAGACACCACGAGTGAAGAAAAAAAAGATGTTCCACCGCCTGAGACCGCAGCCACACCACAAAGCCGCCAAGACAAAGGCTCAGAAGGGAATGGGGAAGACACAAAAGCAACGACAGTAACCGCAAACACAACTGATACGAAGAACACACAAAACAGTGACGGCAGCACCGCGGTCTCCCACACCACCTCCCCTCTTTTGCTTCTTGTTGTTGCGTGTGCGGCTGCTGCTGCGGTGGTTGCCGCGTGAGAGTGAGGGAGAGAGAGCCATGCACCGCCCGCACACACACTCGTCCTTCTCACTCTCTCTGTGTGTGTGTCCCCTTGCATGGACTCTTGCCCTCACCTCACCCCACGAGGCACACACATAATGTGCCCATTGTATATATGAATGCACACCCATGCAGGCCCGTTGGTGCTCTCTTTTGCAGCACACGCACCGCTGCCGTCCTGCCTGGCTGCATGGGCGGAGCACCGTAACTGTTTTTGTTTTGTTTTTATTGCATTGAGTGGGCGACCTCTCTCTCTCTCTCCCTGTGTGTGTGTGTTTTGCTTTACGGGAGCAATGAGAGTGTGTGTGCTGGTCGTCCCAGGCTTCGGCTTTTCATTTTATTGTTTTACTTGTGTTGTGGTTGAGTGCACCCATTCCAGTTTTTTATTTATTTTTGGCTTGCCTTGACTGCGGATTCTTAAAATGCCCTTTATTCGACACTTTCTTATATTGTTTCTTTCTTGTTGAGGGAGTGTCAGACTTTTGTACCCTTGTCACGCTAATGAATTGTTTTTTTTTTTTTTTTTTTTGACATACGCCATGCGCCCGTTGATCGATGTTACTTTTCTGTCTGCATCGCTGCTGCTGCTGTTATTGATGATGCCTGCGATGTGATTTGTCGGCGGGTGTCTTGCTCTCAGCCTGACGTATCCTTCGTTCCTTGACGATTTGTTGCGTACCGACGGTGCGTGGGCGTCTCTGGTGATAGTGAAGGACGCTTTTCTCAGAGTGCAGGATGCGTCGCGGGTGTGCAGCGTCGTTTGTGAGGACCGATGGGTGCCCATATGCATCCAGGCGTCATCAACGGACTGTGAGGACAGCATAAGGCACTGCGGCTTCTTTTGGTGTTGCGCAAAGAGTTTATTGGACGGTGCGTTTGTTTTCAATCTTTTGCAGCTTTTGTGGGAGAAGGTGGGAGGCTGAGGGCATCAGGACTGAATTCATTTGAGTGGCTGCGTTCCGTTGAGTTGCGGCCAGTCGTGGCACTCTTTTGGGGTTTGGCAGCTCATCTCTTTTGTTTACTTCCCACTGCAGCACGTGGATAACACTGATCCGAGGAACATTTGTTTGACGGCATGTGAGCTGCTGCCGTGCGTGGTGCATGGACTATGTGATTGTGTGGGGAGGTGCATTGGGGTGACGAATACTTCTGTTTGGCGTGTCGCGGTGTGTTGGAATGATGTTCGGATGACATGTGGAGGGTGTTGTTTGTGATTTGTGTGTCTTCTCTGGTGGAGCCGACATGTGTGCGGGATTGTGGCATTGCTGGCTGACAGCTCCACGTCACTTTTCAGCATTCCTGGATGTGCTGAGGAATGACGGCTGGCGACCAGCGTGTTGGTGCTGCTGGTGGGAATAAGTGCATCGGGAATAGGCCGTTTTCTCTTTTCCGTGCTGGAGCCGATGAACTGGCACGAGGGCACCGGCTGCAGGCTGCCTGCCAGCACGTGTGAGCAGCGGATCCATGCACGCACAGACGCTCATCGCAAGAGCTTGTGCGATCACAGTGGCCTTTTGTGGCGTGCTTTTGTGGACGTCAGCCCATCGAAGAATGTGTGAAGCAAACGGCTGACTGCACACGAGGAAAATAGGTGCGTGCACTGTGCCGTGTTTCAGCGTCGATGGCAGAGCGGCAGGAAGCCCGTGCTGGCAACTGAGAACTTTGCGTCGCGAGGGATGTCGGTGTTGATTTTGGATCGTCGAGGGTGAAGCGATTTTGCTGCTGCCCGTGTGTGTGGCCACTCCGGCAGAGGGCGGACACAAAAGGGAGGGATGCAGGCGCTGCGTGTGTGTGTGTGCAGGTGCCATGCAACAACGTCACAACAAACATGCTGCGACTCGGTGACCCTCACATCGTTGTGGTCCTCACGAACAGCCGAGGCACGGCCCACACTGATGCACTTAGTGGACGGAGTGAGGCATCTTTTGAGGCGCTGCAGGGAACAGGATGTGTTGACGCAGCCACGACGTGCATGGAGCGTCACGATGGCACAGTCAGCTGTGGCTGGTGGAATATTTACTTTTCGAAGGCAACAGAGAGGGAGAGCTGCTCCTGCTGCTGGCGTTGTTGCTGCCTCTTGTGGCCTCCCATGCCGATTATTGTCTGTCCGCCGATCGTGGGTGGCATGCCTCCTCTAGTGACGTCGTCTGCAGGCATTTCACAGCACCAGTGAAACACACATCACGTCGCATGCTTTGGCTGTGGATATGGTGTCGTGAATGCAGCCGGCATTATTTTGCCCGACTCCTTTTCACTGCTTCGCGACGAATAGATGCGTCGCCGCCCGAGTCATTCACTGCAGCTGCGTGTGTTGTACAGCCAGCACAAGACTCTCTTGTTGTCTGACGCCTGGCTGACAGTCAAACACCACTGCGTTGGGGCATGCAGGGATGTGGACTGCCGCTCACGGTGTTGGGCACCGCTGTTTGGATGCGGCGGCCACACGAGCGGATGTATTGTGGCACAATCAAATGCGTGAAGTACGCGGAATCACAGCGGCTGCAATAATATCAGCGGTGTGGCACCACGGAATATGTGAGGGGGTGATGCATGATGAATCACAGTGGGCGGCATGCGAGGGAAGTGCACCGCGACGGAGCGTCATCCCGCCCTCAGCCTGCAGGGGAATGTACACCCACAAAATATATGGACGAGACACCACCAAACACACATGCCCCTCCATGCACCAATAAACAGGAGCGAAGGTGCGTTCTGGTGTGTGGGAGTCCACTCACATATTTTCATTTCCACCGCAATAAACGGTGAGGAATCAGGAGCCACAGCAACGAAAGGAAAAACAAACATCTATTGCAACACTTTACCAGCGAAAGGCAGGAACAACACAAACCGAATTATTGGCTGCACCAACACAAGAAACATTCACAAGAGGAAAAAAAAATAATTGTGCACCCTGCAGAAATCCCAATACACGACCCAGGCATGAAGGTTTGCCCTCTGCAAAAACAAAACAACGCATGCAGACATCTGCCAACATCCAAACAGAAACACAAATGAATGGTTGCTTGCATTATTCCATTCCTTGCGCTTATTTTTGAACGTGCGGCTGCTGCTGCGGTGGTTCCCAGGCCTGCATGAAGTGGTGTGCGCTGAATATAAACGAGGGCTGAAGGCAACCGAATTATTTTTGTGATGAATATTGGCTGCACTTCCCGTGGACCATCAATTCACGTGGTGTGCGGGGATCATTCCTTTTTAATTGTTACTTTGCTGTTGTGTTGCTGTGTGCGCTGCAACTCCTCTTGTGTGTGCGTACCCTCCGTGAGGGGTGCAGACACGACGGACCGCTCTCGCTGTATGTGCATGCGGTGGAGTCTTGTGTGCCGCTCCTGTTTGCTTCTCCCTCCTCCATCTGTGTGTTGGTGTTGCGGCAGGGCTGAGTGTGTGTGTGTGCCTGTTGCCGTGGATTGGAGTGTGTGTCGTGCGTGGTGTGCGGCGTACGGTGCATGCCTGGCTGCTGCCCTCTCCTCATGTGGTGTGCCCTCTGTGTGTGTGTCTGCCGCACCTCTCGTCTCCCCTGTTGCTGTCCATGTCCCTCACTGTGCAGATCAGCTCCAAACCACTGAACGACCACACTCACGATGATGACGTGCCGTCTGCTGTGCGCCCTGTGGGTGCTCGCCCTGTGCTGCTGCCCGTCCGTGTGCACCTCAGAGTCTCCGGAGAATGTTGATGATTCCAGGACGACGACGAACACGACAACACAGCCACCAACCGCTAACGGGCCGTCTGGCGCTGATGAAAGCGTCAACAGTCGTTCTTCTAATTCAGAATCAGGACAACGGGTGGAAGGTGAGTCAGGGTCGCCAGGCACGGGGGCCACTGCGGGAAAATCGGCAAATAGTGCGCCAGAGACACCAGGCTCTACCGGTCCGGAAAAGCAATCAAATGAAGCTTCCAGTGCAGTACAGTCAAATGGTACGAACGGTGCGACAGAGCCACCAAGTCCCACGGATCCTTCTTCAGACAAAGCAGATCAGGGAGTCGAAGCTTCTGCCGAGACGACTACTACAACTACGACAACGACAACTACGACGACAACCACCACCACCACAAAGGCACCAAGTATTACGACTACAACAGAGGCTCCAACCACGACGACCACCACCGCACCGTCACGTCTTCGCGAAATCGACGGCAGCCTCAGCAGCTCTGCGTGGGTGTGTGCCCCGCTGCTGCTCGCCGTATCCGCGCTGGTGTACACCACTCTGGGCTGAAGAGGTGTATGAGGGCTGTGCGTGCCAGCACTCAACCACGGGGATTTGTGTGCATGTCCACTGTGCTCCGATGTAAATAAATAAATGAGAGAAAATAATGATTGTGTGTTTTGCTTTGTTTGCTTCTGCTGCCCTGCTGTGTGCTCCATGTTGCTGCTCCCTGTATCCGTCACGTTGAACGCATCCCAGACACACTCATATGCACGACACGCATACAGCTGTTTGCGTGGACGCATGTTTGCGTGGACGCATGTTTGCGTGTGGATGCATGCACACTGGCGCCATACTGTGCGGCTCCTTTTATTAAATTTTTTTGTTGCTTTTTTACGTGTGTTTTTAATTGTTTTGTTTTTCTTCTTTTCTTGCTGATTAATTACTGAAGGACTGTGCATTTGCCTTTTTTTTCCTCCCACTGATTCCAACTGCCTCATGGTGTGTTGCTGCTGCCATTTGTCACTGTGCGGTTGCTTTGGCGTGGCTGTGTGACTTGTCTCTCCCCTTTTGCTTTTGCTCTGCGTTGACGGGGAGTTAGTTTGTGCTGAAGGCTACACGCAAGTGACAGGAGTGATGGCGATGATGATGACTGGCCGTGTGCTGCTGGTGTGTGCCCTCTGCGTGCTGTGGTGCGGTGCCGGATGGGTTTATGCGGGAGACGTCGAGAACAACGCGGGGGAAGGTTTCATGGCGTCGGGAGTTTTGGGTGTGAATCGGTTGCGTGTGCCAAGCGTATGTGGTAAGGTTGC